CAAGTGTAATACACAGGGGAGCAGCAAGCAACTTTCTATTACCAGTAACATACTTAAATGAGGTGTTAAATTTTTAGTAGCTGGAAATCTGTTTTGCTAAATGAAGAACCTAGGATCAAACCTGTGTTAAAACCCTTGTACAGTGCACATGTATCCAACCTTTGTCATGTCCTTAAGCAGGCTTACCGTTTGTCACTGGTCGTGAGAAGCTTTTATTCTTGCGAGAAACACAGTGTTTTTTTAACTAACAAGTTTTAAGAGGATCCAGATGCGCTTTCGAACTCCAGGGGCCATCTGTTTTGGGGAAAGAGTTAAAGTAAAAGTTATTGAGGTCATTACTTTTGCTTCTCAAGGCCGTTCAGGTCTCTTATGTTAGGCCTTTTTTAATCACACACGAACATGGAGGAAATATCTAGGCCCTGCCAGCAATGTTTTCAGCAAACTGAGCAAATACGTCTTTTTCTGTCTTCTTTACTTAAAGAAGAGGTTTCATACTAAGGAACCTCTTAAGGAAGGAGTGTCTGGTAACTTCTCGCTTTATATGTTTAAAGAAAGACTGTAACGACTCGGATTGTTGCTGGATGAAACCAGGTCTTGGGTTTCCTATGTAGTAAATGTACAGGTGGACACCTTTATATAGGTTGTTGCTTCTAGCCGTGGTTACTAGGGGGTAGCTAACAACAAACAATGTAACAGCATATTCATTAATCCAGCAAGGGTAAAGAGGTTCCTCCACTTGGGCGCAAGGTTGAAACCACAGGCGACCAGGAACAATAGGAAACCAGTTAGGTATTGCGGGAAAAACTATTAAGATTTTATAACCTACATCTTACTTGCTTGATGAGTCCTAAGCTTCGGCCGTGGGTAGGACTAGTCAGCCTCGGTGTGTGACTAGAGGCAGGGCTGTTGTCCCTGCAGCAGCAGCTTGGGTCTATCTCAGGATTCAGCTGGGTTGGATGATCTGCGTTCCTGCTGGCCGTTCACTCTCTCCTGAGCTGCCGGGTGTTAGGCTGGACTTTGGTGGATCCAAGACACAACACTGAAAACTTTAACGCAGTTGGGGAGTGGAACAAGGTTACAGTATAGGGCATCCTATATGGTGTGCTAGAAAATTAGATTTTACTTTTAAACAGAGTCACTAGTTTAAAGGGGTGCAGGCTTTTAGGCGTTTCATGTATTTATTATGAACATCTTTGTATTGGTATGGTATTTTTAAAGCCCTGGCATTGCTTTCTTAAGGTTATTTCTTTAGTTTCTTTGAGGTCACCTTTAATTTGACCTATATTTGGGGGGTGGCCCGACCAAACAAAATTTTATAGGGCAAATACCTAGTTTGTTTGGTGGGGGTGCACCTGACTCGGAGGAGGACCATAGGCAAAAACCTGATTTTTATCTTAAATGAGCAAACAAGCGCTAGCATGTACAATAGTCTCCAGCATGGGGCAGTTCGGCAAAGTCTATAAGCAAATTTTCACAAGGTATGGCTCTTTTTACTGTTTAAGTTTCTTAGAGGAGGGGTTTTTCTCCCCACCCCCACCCCCCCCTTTGTAACTCTATTTAGTGGCTTAGCCTTCAGTGAGAAATTGGAATCCAGATACAGCAGAATCTTGCTGCTTTTAACTTCTAATGTGACCATGGGCTCCTGGGAGCCTAATGAGAAGGTGCTTAGTCTGCCCCAGTCTTTATATTCTTCAGCTCCTGTCAGTCTGATCAGATCAGTATTTGGTTCCTCCAAGGTGCAGCAGCCCTTGGCCGATGGCCTCTTTGTCTTGCGGCCTTTGCCGTTTCCTTTATTGCCTTTTTGAACATTTATCCTTCTAGTGTCCTTTTTTTTGCATCTCGCACATTAATCTCTCTCTAGCCTTGTCCGGCTCTTGAATCCTTGCCTAACTTGACTTCTTTCACATTTACATCCACGTCCACGTCTTCTCACATGACTAATTTCTCTTTTTTTACACTTACTCTTAGTCTTTCTTTTTCTTTTTGCTCTTTCCCAGTTTACTGATGCCCAAGGCTGGTCCCAGACGTCAAGTCTGCTAGAGTAAACTGAGTCCAACACTTCTACACAGTCACGCTTGACAGGGCTCTCTGATACCGGGAGCAAGGTGGTGGGTTCAGGGTGTTACAAACTTCAATGGTTATACGGGGATTTTCACAGAGCAAACTTTGGTACTTGGTGAGTCTAGCATTCGTTAACCAATGATGTCCTTTAGTATTCATTAAAGTTACCGCAGCATGAGGGGCCTTTATGTTCAAGTTTTGCCCAAGAGTCAGCTTATCTGCTTCTTGTACTAGCAGGGCAGTTGCTGCCAAGGCCCTCAAACATCGGGGCCATCCTTTAGAAACCCCGTCTAGTTGTTTAGAGAGGTTGGCCGCCGGCCTTCGCCAGACCCCCACAATTTGGGTTAAAACTCCAACTGCCATCTTTTCTCTCTCTGACACATACAATGTAAAAGGCTTTGTCAGATCGGGTAGCCCCAGGGCTGGGGCTGACAGAAGTTTTTCCTTTAACTCATGAAAGGCTTGCTGTTGTTGGGATCCCCATTTAAAAGATTCCCAGTCCCCCCCTTTGTGACCTCATGCAAAGGCTTGGCTGATATTGCAAAGTTTGGGATCCACAGTCTGCAAAATCCCACAGCTCCTAAGAATTTTCTCACCTGCCTTCTGCTCTTAGGCTCCCGTAGATTGCCAATGACCTGCTTTCTCTCTGATCCCAGGCTGCGCTCCCCCTATCGGATAGTAAATCCCAGGTAACGTACCTTCTGTCAGCAGATCTGAGCTTTTTTCTTGGACACTTTACACCACAGTCCTCCAGGTGCCGGAGTAGGGCATCCGTTCCCTTGGCGCACCCGACTGCTGTGGGGTGTCCCAGCAGAAGGTCATCAACGTACTGGAGCAACACACAGCCTAGGTCTCTGGTGGGAAACTTCTGGAGGTCTCAAGCCAAAGCCTCCCCGAAGATGGTGGGGGAGTTCTTGAACCCTTGGGGAAGCCAGGTCCAAGTGTAGTGAGTAGTGACACCTGACTCCGGATCTTCCCACTGAAAGGCAAACAGCTTCTGTCTCTCACGGGCTAATCTGATGCTAAAGAAAGCATCTTTCAGGTCCAAGCAGGTGAACCAGGTATCCTCAGCTGGCAGCAACCCCAACAATGTGTACGGGTTAGGTACCGTTGGATGTAAAGTCACTGTAGCTTGATTAACCAAGCGCAAACCCTGTACTGGCCTGTAGTCCTTGGTCCCTGGCTTGGGAACCGGCAGGAGGGGAGTATTCCATGGACACTGACAAGAAACTATAATTCCAAAGGTTCTCAGGTGCTTGAGATGGACCTGGATACCTTCAAGAGCTTCTCTGGGGACTGAGTACTGTTTTTGCCTAACTGGCTGTGCCCAGGCTTAACTTCTATAAGTACGGGGGCTTGGTTGACGGCCAACCCTGGAGGGTTGTCTTCTGCCCACACTTTTGGCCACCGCTTAGCCAGAGCGGGTCTTATCTCTTGGCTCAGCTCAGTTAAGAAAAGTCTCCATTCTTCCTCTTGGGGTACCGTAAGGGTCATAATGACTCCCATTCCAGGTCAGTTTAGCAGCAAAGACCCATGCTCTGTAAAAGAGATAGTGGCTCTCAGCTTGCTAACAAGTCCCTTGCCAACAAGGGCAAGGAACAGTCAGGCATGTACAAAAACTGGTGAATCACTTTATGTCCTCCTACAGTACAAGTCTGAGGGAAGCAGAAAGCTTGCTTTGCTGAAACCCCCGTGGCTGCAATTACCTCAATAGTCTTTTTGGATAAGGGGGCGACTGGGGTGGTTACTACAGAATGTTCAGCACTGGTATCTACAAGAAAATCAATGTCTTTACACCCGACTGTCATCCTGACCATAGGCTCTTTGGGGGCACTTGAGCCGGGTCCCCCTCAGTCCAATAACCCTTCTGCCAGGTTGAGCAGGGCCCCTTCTTCCTTGTCTGGAGTCTCCTGCTCTGAGTCTCCTTGTTTTCCTTTTAGCTGAGGGCATTTGTTCTTCCAATGTCCCATTTCTTTACAATAAGCACACTGGTTACTCTCAGGGGCATTTGTACCCCAGTTTTGTGTCGTAAACCAGCTGCCAAGGGAAGGGTCTCTCCCGAGGCTTCACCTCCTCTCTTGTCTACTCTGGGTGGCCTAGGGATATGTTTGTCTTGCGGAGGCGCAAGCACTGTGGGCTCAAGAGTGGGGAGCCTCTCTCCCTGGTAAGGGGAGGGCACCACTGGGATCACTGGTGCCATCTCCTGCAATGGATCTTCTGATGTTGGGTCGAACAGAACTTCAGGAGTTGATTTCCCTCGGCGAGTGGAGTGGGATCCTTCCTTGGCTGTCTGTCCCTTTGCTACTAGCACTGCTGCTGCCTGTCCTCTTAGCCACTGTGGGGGGTCTAGCACCAGTTGTAACCAAGTGTCTATGTATGGCAACTGGTCTGAGTGTCCTGACTTACCAGTTACCTTGTGCCATACCTTAGAAACAAGGAACCTGTCCAGGCTTCCTTCTGATGGCCAACCCACTTCTAATGTTGGCCAATCTATTTCACACAAAGTTCTAAGTTTTCCTGGTGTCATAGTAACCCCAGAGTCTCCATTAAATCCCTTCTTAAAATGTTTCAACATAGTTCCTAGCGGAGTGGGCTTACTTTGTGTCTGACCCATGTTTCCTCGAGACAAAACACCACGCTCACACCACATGCACACCACAAAACAAAGAACGGGTAAAAAGGGCGCACACACACCTTTTCAGTTTATACCAAACCAGAATCAAAACCAAAATCAGAGAATCCAGAAATCCAAGCCAGGTCAAAACCAAAACCAAAGTATCAAACAATTCAAGTCAAGTCAAAAACAAAAACCAAAGTGCTGGTACAGGCATGCTGTGGGTGATCAGGCCACGCTTCCACTCAAATGGAGTGGGCAAGTTCCAAAGACTAGTCTTACCAAGTTTCAGATGTCCGGACTTAAAGTGCAGGTTCCTTCCTGGTGTTCAGCCACTGTGTTGATCCTCCACGGGGCCTGCTGTGCACTGCTAGGAGGAGGCATTCCACCGGGACAATTGCCTACACGGGAGCGCTCTCAGGATCCGCATCGCTCCAGCTGGCCAGAGTCCCCCCAAGGGATGCTCTATAGGGCAGGCATAAGCTGCCTAAGGGGCTGTCTCGACCATCCGTTAATCACCTCACTTCCCAGTCAGGAAACCAAGAAATGTAGCAGGACGAGCCGCAGATAAAACTCCTCAGACACCGGATTAAAGAAGGAAGAGGTTTATTTGGCCAGGAGCGGGCAGACTCGCATCTTAAGAGCCCAGCTCCCTGAGAAAGAAATATTTGGCCTTTTTAAAGGGAGGGGCTGTAGAAGCCGTGCAGCCCGTTCGGAGGATGCTAAAGGGGCCTGGGCAGAAGGGAAGTGGCCGTGCCCAGGCCTGCCTGCCACTAGATCCCCACCCATCTATGACTGCTCAGTCCTGCTCTCCTACCAGACCCACCTTTCCCCGCAAAGACAGCGCACCCCACCCACTCCCTGCCCAGTCCAAACTCCGAGGCTGGGCGAGGCACTGATCCACGGCTGGAACGACCCGGGCAGCCTCTGGGTGAACAGCAGCCTGTCCGGGGACAGCGAACCGAGACCAGCGAGTCGACCATGCGGCTGCACAGACTTCGGGAGCGGCTGAGTGCGGTGGCCTGTGGGCTCCTGCTGCTTCTAGTCCGTGGCCAGGGTGAGGCTCCCGCGGAGGGGCGACAGGGACCGGGCTCAGAGCTGCCAAATGCTGTGGAGGCAGAACCTGACAGTGCGGGAGGGAAGGTGCCTGGGAGGCAGGAGCTGGTGTAGATGACAGCGTGGAACTCGTGAGCCCCACGCGACGCCTCCCAGCCGCCCGAGGTGGGCTCCTAGAAGCGCAGAAAGGGTCTGGCTGCGGGACACCACGGCGAAGAATCAGCAGAGTACAGGGGATCCAGGAGCGCCAGGACATGCCAGGCAGGGTCGGCAGCCCTGGGTGGGAGTGGGTGAGGGATTGGGGGTGCGGGGATTCCGTCCATTTCCCTCTTATGATTGTGGCAGTAGAGGGTGCTGTCGGCCGGTAATAACAATAATAGTTTCTCGCAGCATCTGGCTCTGAGTGTGTGGCGTCCTTGGCCAGGGGGGCGCCCTGACCCCTCCAAAGGGGCTTCAGACAAGATTAGTGGTCCTTGGGGAACAGAAGCCCCCAGGGGCCAAATCCTAAAGGGGATCCAAAAGGCTGCAGTGGCTGGGAGTGATTGGCTCACACTTGTAATCCCAGCACTTTGGAAGGCCCAGGGAGAGAATCGTTTGAGCCCAGGAGTTGGAGGCCATCCTGGGCAATATAGTGAGATTTGGTGTGTACAAAATATTTAAAGAAATTAGTGGGCTGTGGTGGCCTGTGGCCTGTAGTCCCAGCTGCTTGGGAGGCTGAGGTGGGAGGATCACTCTAGCAGGGGAGGTTGAGGCTGCAGTGAGCCTTCATCACACTACTGCACTCCAGCCTGGGTGAAAAAGCAAATATCTTTTTCAAGAGAAAAGAGCCAAAGAGCTGTGGTGTCCCTCACGCTATTTACTTCATCCTGGGCAAAGGTACAACTTGGTTTCCAGGGCAAAGGTGATGGCTCTGCGTGCCCGCCAGGCTTCTCCCGGCCCTTATCAGAAGCTCCAGGATTGTTTCCGCCTTTGGTCCTGTTACCTGAAACTCTCCTAAGTCTATGATCTGACTGTCTCTCCCAACCCTTTCCTAATTTAATCCGCCCAGGTGGAGTCCATACTCCCCCCGCCCCATGGTGCACTCCCGCAGGGCGGGAGAGGATGCCACCATTTAGGTTTTGCTGATTGTATCCCAGTGGTGTCTTGTAACTGTTCTTCTGTCCCTTGTCTACCATGTAAACTTGTATTTATATTCTAGAGGCATAATCAGATTTGGGTTTTAGGTTTTATTTTGTTTTGTTTTTTGGAGGACTACTTCATATGTGGTGCTGTGTACTTCTGATAGAAAATATGTAACGTCTGATTGTCTTGCTTTTTGTGATACCACAAAATGAGTGGTTGACATCACAGTGAGAATTCAATGTGCATTTCTCTTACTATGAATGAGGTAAAGCTCTCTTTATTTGAGAGAGACTGATTTGTATTGCTTATTCTAAACATATTCTTATACTACTTTGTTTTTGCGTGGCTGGCATATTCTTTGTTTGTAGAAATTCTTTATCTATTAAGAGGACCGACGTTCTCTGTTAGGTGATTTTCAATCACTTCCTCCCTCCATGATCCCCACAGCAGATAGGCTGTCTTTTGTTTGTTTGTTTTTGTTTTTGTTTTGAGACAGGTTCTCAGTTTGTCACCCAGGATGGAGTGCAGTGACATGATGATGGCTCACTGTAGCCTCAACCTCCCAAGCTTAAGAAATCCTCCCACCTCAGCTGGCCAAGTAGCTGGCACTACAGGCATGTGCCACCACACACAGCTAATTTATTTTCTTCATTTTTTTTTGCAGAGACAGAGTCCCACTAGAGTCCCCAAGCCAGCCTCTGTGCTTTTTATGTCCCAGCCACAGTCACGCTTCTCTCTTGTAGCTCTTTTCACCAACATCACTCATGGTTTGGAGGATGCTTTATTTTATTTTTTTGTTTGAAGAATCTCGCTCTGTAGCCCAGGCTGGAGTGCAGTGGCCAGATCTCAGCTCACTGCAAGCTCCGCCTCCCGGGTTCCCGCCATTCTCCTGCCTCAGCCTCCAAGTAGCTGGACTACAGGCGCCCGCCACTCGCCCGGCTATTTTTTGTGTTTTTTAGTAGAGACGGGTTTCACCGTGTTAGCCAGGGTGGGTCTCGATCTCCTGACCTCGTGACATCCGCGTCTCGGCTCCAAAGTGCTAGGATTACCAGGCTTGAGCCCCAACGCCGGCGGAGGGACTAGCTTTTATTTTGTCCCCATTTTTCGCCCGCTTGGGGCCACGGTTGGGCATGATATCCCTGAGGACAGGAAACATGCCTGCTCAATTCCCACCATCATCCTACTGTCACATGACCTGGCACACAGTTGAAAGGACACTCTAGTCCCATCAAGGGCATGTGACCCTTTGTTTGAAGGTCTTAGGGCTGAATGATGGTGCCAGGCCCCAAGAAGCCTCAGCCTGGTGGGATGGAGACAGGCCCAGGAAGGCAGAGCGGGAAGGGAGTGTTACAGGCAGGAAGTTCGTAAAGCCTGTGTTTATATCAGGATCCCTTGAGCGGAGCTGAGGGTGGCAAGGAGGCGGCAATACCAACAGTATGGGAGGGCAGCTGATTGGTCAAACCCAACCGTGATGTCTGTCTCTCTGCCCACAGGCCAGGACTCTGCCAGTCCCATCCGGACCACACACACAGGCCAGGTGCTGGGGAGTCTTGTCCATGTCAGGGGCGCCGATACTGGGGTCCATACCTTCCTGGGAATTCCCTTTGCCAAGCCACCTCTAGGTCTGCTGCGATTTGCACCCCCTGAGCCCCCTGAATCTTGGAGTGGTGTGAGAGATGGAACCACCCATCCGGCCATGTAAGTTCTCCCAGGGGTCCAGGGAACTCCAAGCCCTGGGGCAGGGGTGGAGGTACTCTGAGATCAGCTAGGCTGCAATTGTCATGTCACCTAAACCCCCACAGCCAGTTTTCCTTCTGAGTTCCGTGGATTCCCACGTGCATTTTTCCAATGAGCATGCTGAGGCTCGGGAGGGCCAAATAACTTCTCAGACTCCTGGCTCAAGGGTTGGCATTTGGGAGGCATTGGCTCCAGGTGCTGAAGGGAGGGGCAGAGACACATATCTCCCCAGATTCTGGTTATGCCAAGCTTTCTCTGCCACCAGTGGCAGGTGTCTCTGGGAAAGTTTCGATGTAGCTCTATGAACCTTGTAGGAGCCCCTAACTCTAGTGGCAGATGTTGCAAATAGCTGAAGAGAACAGTAGAGGTAGCTTTCTGGGGACCTGCACTCTCCACAGTCACTGTGTCCACCGACTGGGCCAGGAGCCATTGGCCAAGAGACGTGTATATTTTTCCAACTGGAGGCCATGTGGGAATGATGAGTTTTTGAGAGTTTAGACTTGGGATGAGGGACATCCCACTGCCCTTCTCGTGAGAAATTAACATCCATTCACTCATGTAGCACACATATGTGGGCTACTCCCCTGTCCCAGGCCTAAGGGGGTACAGCGATATAGTGGTGAATGTCAACATATGCAGCCAATGGTTCTCATAGAAACCCCTGAGAGTCAAGGTTTCCGGTGTTGGGAGGAATGATACCCAAGGTCCTCAATGACCTCGAGACCTCCCTGGAAGTCCAAACTCCATCCCAGCTTCCCCAGAGCCTGTGGCCTGTAACTTGGTGGGAAGGGATTTTTGGGAGGGATCATGTGTGGGCAGGGTATTGTGAGAGGGGCTGAGGGTGGCTGGGAGCACAGCTGAACCCAGGGTCTGGTTTTAGCCACAGCCTGGCCCCTGGACTGATTATTTACCCTGGTTACTAGGTGTCTGCAGGACCTCACTACACTGGAGTCAGAATTTTATAGCCAGCTCAATGTCACCATCCCTTTGGTCCCCATGTCCGAGGACTGCCTGTACCTCAGCATCTACACGCCGGCCTACAGCCATGAAGGCTCTAACCTGCCGGTAGGTGTCAGACCACAGTTCACTGGGCGTTGGAGGACAGTTCTTCTGCAAGTAGGTAGAAAGGACAATATTAGCACAGGCCCTGCTGCAGAGTGGACTGTGCTGAGAAGCTTCTCACTCTCAGGTCTGAGAAATTCTCCTACCCAGGCTGGGCAGCTGACTCCCGGGTATGAGGTCACAGAGTTCTGGCTGCTCCCAGAGGTCAAAGGCTGTGGTTCTGGGCTGGACCCAGGACTCACCCAGCCAACTCAACTCCACACCAGGAGACATCCACTCAAGTGCCCAAGGGCTGCACCTTTCGAGGTTACCAAGAAATCCCAGCCATGGATAATTGATGTTGGGAAACTATTGAGAATGGGCACACATAAAATTTTTTTTGTTAGATGGTGGCAATCACAATGCGTCTGTTCCCAGGCTAGGAAAAGCAGTGGCATGGAACGTAGCTCTCTGTAGCGCTCCTCGAATTCC